GAGGGGCCGCGGGCAGCTCCGCGTCCCCCGGAGCCGCTCCTGACCCTCCTGTGCTCTCCAGCTGCAGGCGCCTACCTGCCTCCCCTGCAGCAGGTTTTCCAGGCGCCGCGCCGGCCCGGGATAGGCACCGTCGGGAAGCCCATCAAGCTCTTGGCCAACTACTTTGAGGTGGACATTCCCAAGATCGATGTCTACCACTATGAAGTGGATATCAAGCCTGACAAATGCCCGCGCAGAGTCAACAGGTAAGGCAGGTGTTCGAGGTTCGGCGCGCTCTGCCCACCTCCAGTGTCCCGCTGGAGACGCAGTGAGCGCTGGAACCGTTGGGACGAGGCGCCCATTCCTGTCCCCGACGCCCTGGGCGATCCCAGCCTTAGCGCTGGCCCCGGCTTCTTCGAAGCACTCGGGCTGTCTTGGCACTGCTCTCACGTTTCAAAATAGCAAGTCCTGGCCCTCGGGCCAGCGTGAGCCTTCCTAGTCCTGCTTTCCTTTTGGACGCCCCCTCGCCCACCAGCCCCTCTGCCCTCCACGTCCGGGAGGTTGTGTAGGGATGGAGCAGGGCCTTGGAGCAGGGGTGGCTCCTTGGGGATCCCTGGCCCGGGAGGGGACCGGGAGCGCAGCAGCAGCCTGGGCTTGAGGGGCTGAGGAGCGGGCAGGTTGCACGAATAAAACAAGTGGCCAAACAACCTGCTTTTCTCTCCGCGGTGCCCCCGTGCCCGCATAGGGAAGTGGTGGAGTACATGGTGCAGCACTTCAAGCCTCAGATCTTCGGCAGAAGGCGGTCTACGATGGGAAGAAGAACATTTACACGGTCACGGCCCTGCCCATCGGCAACGAGCGGGTGAGCGCGTGGAAAGTGACCTGCGGCACCCGCTGCTCCCGAGCGGCCCTCACCGTTGTCCCTTCCCTCCCTCGCCCAGGTCGACTTCGAGGTGACAATCCCGGGGGAAGGCAAGGACAGGATATTCAAGGTCTCTATCAAGTGGATGGCGATCGTGAGCTGGCGGATGCTGCACGAGGCCCTGGTGAGCGGGCAGATCCCTGTCCCGCTGGAGTCCGTGCAGGCGCTGGATGTGGCCATGAGGCACCTGGCGTCCATGAGGTACCGGGATGTGGCGGGACGCGCGGGGGCGGCAGGGCCCGTGGCCGGCGCGCAGGGGAACCTGCGGCAACGCGCTGGTCGTGCGGGGCCTCGGACGCCGCGTGGAGCCGATGCCATCGCCGCGGCCGGGCCCCACGGGGCTCCCTGGTTCGGCTTCCACCAGTCGGTGCGGCCCGCCATGTGGAAGATGATGCTCAACATTGACGGTGATTTGCCCTCAGCGCTCGCGGGGCGGCCGTGCGGGACACGGCGGGGGCTCTGCGGGGTCTGGATGTGGGTCAGTTCCAATGACAGCGGTGGGCAGCTTGGCCCTAAGGGGGGGCTTTCAGGTGCTGTAGATCCTGCTACTAAATTAAGGGGTGGTTTTTCACTGGCTTGAGCAGAGCCAGGGCTGTGCGGAAGGTGCCGGGGCGCCAGGGCGGTCCGCGGCTCTGCGTGCGCGCGGCGGCTCCGGGGCGGCTCTCCTGCCCGCCCGAGGAGCGCAGGGCCCATCGTGCTGTCCGCCCCGCAGTGTCGGCCACGGCCTTCTACAAAGCGCAGCCCGTCATCGAGTTCATGTGCGAGGTGCTGGATATCCGGAACATCGACGAGCAGCCCAAGCCCCTGACGGACTCGCAGAGAGTGCGTTTCACCAAGGAGATCAAAGGTAGCGGCGGGAACGCGCCGGCTCCCAGGGGCCTGATTAGCTCAGGAAGGGGCTGCAGGGAGAAGGGGGCAAAAAGAGATCGCTCGGGGCAGCCCCTGCGCTCAGACGTGACCTGCGGCCTCCCTGTCTCTTGCCCTAGGTTTGAAAGTAGAGGTTACCCACTGCGGGCAGAGGCCTGATTAGCTCAGGAAGGGGCTGCAGGGAGAAGGGGGCAAAAAGAGATCGCTCGGGGCAGCCCCTGCGCTCAGACGTGACCTGCGGCCTCCCTGTCTCTTGCCCTAGGTTTGAAAGTAGAGGTTACCCACTGCGGGCAGATGAAGAGGAAATACCGCGTGTGCAACGTTACCAGGCGCCCGGCCAGTCACCAGACGTAAGGCGGGTGGGAAGATGCCCTTGGAAAAAGCGGAGCCGTTCCGCTCCTTAGCAGCTGCTGCTGGCGAGCGCCGGGAGGGAAGCGCCGGCCCGCGGGAGACGCTCAGCGCGTGGCGGCCGAGCGCGCCCGGTCTGGAGTTGTCCCAGTTTTTACGTCCGCGTTTGGTTTTCTTCTCGCTTAAAATAGATGCTGCCAAGGCAGAAGCTTTGTCAAGAGATAAAGTAATCCCCTTGCCTTAAGTTGTTTGCATGTGCCTGCGTGCAGCTTGGGGCAGCCCGTGAGCCCGGCTGCGCTCCCTGGCGCAAAGGGCCAGCGCTTGGAAGAGCTCCCAGAGCTCTGGCTCCATGGGTGTAGGGCCCCTCAGCACCTCGGAGCAGGAGCCGTAAGGATACGGACACACAGGGGTGCTGCACATCCTGGCTCTGAGCTCCTCCGTGGGAGCCACTCCAGGGCATTTCCCACTCGCTTCCCCCATTGGGAATACGGAGCTGCCCGGCTCTGTGTCCCTGCCCCGTGCTCAGGTGTACGTCCCATCCCTGTCACGGCTTGTGCCTGGCCTCACTCCCGCCTCACTTTAGCCTCTGTTATTCCAGCCCCGCAGCGCTTGGGAGGCGCGGGAGGAATGTGCCGCCTCGCCAGGGCGTTCGGCAGCGCCTCGCCCTGCTAATTTTGGCTCCGCACAGAATATCGGGGCAATTCTTGGTTTTCACAGGGCTCTTTATGGAGCCGTGAACAGCTGGTGCCGCCTGAGCTTGGGCATCCCACGTTCCCGCTGCGGCCTGCGTGGCCCCGCTCGGCCCTGGGAAGTTGGTTTTTCCGGTGGTTTTGGGGTGTGGGAGGCACCGCCTGCCCCTGGGCTCTCCCAGCCCTGGTCTTACAGCTGTTCCCTGGCTGCTGCCCTGGCTCAGCTGTGCCCGTGTACCTGGCGGTGGCATGTGTGGCATGTCCTGTGATAAACATTTGCCCCGATTAGCTGGATTATGAGGGAGAGCTTTATTTAGGCACCTCAGTCCCACACAGGGCTCGGTGCTTCTCTCTGGATTTCTGAAACTCCCGCTGTTCCGCTGCTGCTCCCTGCTCGGCGCTGCCGGTCGCGTTGGCTGCGCGGCCCCGCTGCAGCCTCTGTCCTCCCCGCAGGTTCCCGCTGCAGCTGGAGAGCGGCCAGACCGTGGAGTGCACGGTGGCTCAGTACTTCAAGCAGAAATACAACCTGCAGCTCAAGTACCCGCACCTGCCCTGCCTGCAGGTGGGCCAGGAGCAGAAGCACACGTACCTGCCCTTGGAGGTGAGTGCCCAGCTCCTCCTGGCCCTTGCGGGCAGCTCCCGACACATCCCGCAGCAGCGGGGCACGTGTCCTTTGCTGGCTCCTTCTGGAGGAACCGCTGGCATGAGGCAGAATGTGCAACCTGGAGTGTGTGGCGCCGAGCACTGAGCCCATCTGTAGCGGGCAGCGGTGCTGCGGGCTGCACCGGTGCTGCGCTGGCCTCGGGGCCGCGGCGCCGCGTCCCGCCGCGCTGCTCCTTGCCGTGCCCCGCTGTGCAGGTGTGCAACATCGTGGCGGGCCAGCGGTGCATCAAGAAGCTCACGGACAATCAGACGTCAACCATGATAAAGGCAACGGCCAGGTCCGCGCCGGACAGGCAGGAGGAGATCAGCCGCCTGGTACGTGGCCGGGTCCCCGTGGCAGGAGGGTGGCCTGGGCTCTGCCAGGGGCAGCTGAACAGTCTGGTTGCTCTCCAGCTCATCCCGGGCTTCGGAGGCTGGGAACGATTGATATTCGTTCTGGGATTCTTGCTAACCATCTTGAGCTGGTCTGAGCCTTTCCAGTGACACGTTAAGTCTCGGGGCAGGCTCTGCTCTTGGTCAGTTCAATGATAGCGCTCCTGCAGGTCACTGGAAGGGCACAGTGTGTCCCTGGACAGCTGGGCGCTGCGTGGGGGCAGCGGCTGCTCTCACTCCATCCCAATGGCTCTTCTTTCCCTCTCCAGATGAAGAATGCCAGCTACAACCTGGATCCGTACATCCAGGAGTTCGGCATCAAGGTGAAGGACGACATGACGGAGGTGACGGGGAGGGTCCTGCCAGCTCCCATCCTGCAGTATGGAGGCAGGGTAAGCAGGACTGCGCCACTGGCATCTTTGCAAAGATGTTTTTCAGGCTGGAAAACGCCAGGTTTGCCCAGAACTTGCACCACTTGAGCGGTGGGACGGGAGCGGGGTGCCACGCGGCGCCGCGGCCGCGCTCTGAGCGTCCCCTTGCCTTGCAGAACCGGGCCATTGCCACCCCCAACCAGGGCGTGTGGGACATGCGAGGGAAGCAGTTCTACAACGGCATCGAGATCAAGGTGTGGGCCATCGCCTGCTTCGCCCCGCAGAAGCAGTGCCGCGAGGAGGTGCTGAAGTAAGGAGCAGGGGTGGGCGCCGTGCTGTGACCCGCGCCTGGCCCGGCCTGCGCTGGCATCGCGCCCCGCGCGCGGGCACCCCGCTCCCGCATCCGCCCTTGGCATCGCGGGGCCTCCGACTGCTCCGGCGAGCCGGGCGCCGCGTCGCAGCCCTCCAGCCTGAGCTTCCTCGAGCAGGAGTTTGATGGGGTTGTGGGGGATCCCCTCTGCCTGGAAGCTCAGATCTATCTTGGAATGGCTTTCCGTGGGCTCCAGGAGTGCTGGGTGCCCTCTCCTGCCTGTCCTCCCACAGGGTTGATCGGTATTTGCCATCTCTGGGATCAGATGTCTCTGGTGTCTTCTAGTGGCTCCAGCTGCCAAAATGAGAATGTGGCTGCTGTGTTTAAGGGTGTTCAGCCCCTTCTGGGTTAGTGTAGCTCGTTTAGGAAGCATGGGAACTCTCCACAGGTTTTTATTGCAGTGCCATCTTAGGCTTTCTGTAAAGCTTTGGCAGCTTAGAGGTCCTCTGCCTTGATAGGCAAGTGGCACTGAGTGGGGATCACTTATTTGATTTAGGAAACGGTCCCCTGGGGTTTGGCTTCTACTGCTGCCCCAGGTCCTGACATTCCCCCGCGCGGAGAGGGAGTCGGGGCGGGTGCGTTTGTGCCTCCCGGGGCTGCGTTCCCTGCTGCCATCCCATGGGATGGGATGGTCAGAGCGGCTCCCGTCACCGACTGCAGTGACTGGGTGCCGTGGGGAGCAGCGCTGGGCAGACGGGGAGCCCTGGGCTCCTTGTGGCTGTTCCCATGTTCCTTTGGCGAGCCGGGAATCTGCAGTAGTGTCACCTCGGGTGCCTTGCTCAGGCTCGGTAATTGAAGGTTTGCGTCAGCTTTGCAAATCCCCGGGAAAGGAGCCGTCCTGGAGCGCAGCCCTGCGCCCCTGCGCTCGCTTCCAAAGTGAGAACAGCGGGAAGCTCCTCGGTCTCCTGAGAAAACATCCCGCTCTGGGCAGGAGGCCTCGAGGGGCCCGGCCAGGCCGGAGCCGTTCAGCTCCAGCACGTGTCGATCTCTCGGGGCCGCCGTCTCCGCGTCACGCAGCGGGAGACGGGGCTCTCTCCTTGCGGCCTCTCCTGGGGATCCCGGCGATTTGCGAGAGACTCTTCCGTCCCATTCTGGGCACGCTGTGTGTTTCTGCTACTGTGCAAGTTAAACTTGTCCTCCGTAGGGGTTTCACCGACCAGCTGCGCAAGATCTCCAAGGACGCGGGGATGCCGATCCAGGGCCAGCCCTGCTTCTGCAAGTACGCGCAGGGAGCCGACAGCGTGGAGCCCATGTTCCGGCACCTCAAGAACACCTACTCGGGGCTGCAGCTCATCATCGTCATCCTGCCGGGCAAGACGCCCGTCTACGGTGCGTCTGGGCGCGGGCGGGTTTGCTCTGGCAGCAGGGCTGGTTTTCCCCCTCCCACGTTGCTTCCTCTGCCCGTTCTGGGGGGCAAACGCCGCAAGCTGCGCGTGGCCATTGCCCTTCTCACGGTGCCGTTGCCGCTCTGCCCGCAGCCGAGGTGAAGCGCGTTGGAGACACCCTCTTGGGAATGGCCACACAGTGCGTCCAGGTCAAAAACGTGGTGAAGACTTCCCCGCAGACCCTCTCCAACCTCTGCCTCAAGATCAACGTCAAGCTCGGCGGGATCAACAACATCCTCGTGCCTCACCAGCGGTTTGTCCGGCTGCCGCGGCTCGCGGGCTGCCTGCGCGCGTCCCCCGTGGCCTCCTTCCCTCGGCTGGGCTTGTGGGGAGCACTCACGGCGCGGCCAGCCCGGGGGGAGGAAAGGGCACGTGCGCTGCTGCGTGATGCAGCCGAAACGTGGGGTCCCAGCGCGCCCGGAGCCTGGGGCATGTCCCGGGGTGAGCCGCTGCCCCGGGAGCTGGGGGACGTCCCGGGGTGATCCGCTGCTCCCCATGGGCTGCACATCGCCCCCAGGCTCCCAACACCCCTGAGTGGCCCCAAAAGGCTGACGACTGCTCTCTCCTCTGCCCCCAGCTCTGCCGTCTTTCAGCAGCCCGTGATCTTCCTCGGGGCCGATGTCACCCACCCGCCGGCTGGGGACGGGAAGAAGCCCTCCATAACGGCCGTAAGTTGCCCTGCCAGCGCTGGCCTTGGCCCTCCTGTTGGGAGCCGCTCGAGCCTGGCCCTGTGAAGGGGCTGTGTCACCTCTGTGTGCCGGTGACGCTGCTCAGGGTGGCCCTGCGGCTTTGGGGGCCTGATCCCACTCCTGGGAATGGAGAAGCCCTGAAGGTGCCGCACGTCAGTGAAGGGGACGGTGGGCATGGCTGGAGCAGAGCGTCCGGCTGCTCCGCTGACATCGACGCGCGTCAGGGCCGCGCTCCGGCCTCCCGAGCATCCCGCCGGCAGATGGGGCTCGCGGGAGCCGGCGCGTCTTCATTAGGCACAGCAGCATTTTCCCTATGAGCTCTTGGCTTTCCCAGCGCTGTAGCTCAGGTTTTCCTTGGCATGCAAATGCGGCTTTGGAGGAGTGTTTTTTTCTTAATTAAGAGGTTGGGAAATGCTGCTGGCTGCTTGCTCGGAGGTGTGGGTGGGACGGAGCAGTCTGTTTCCTGGCGGCGACGCTTCCCCTCTGCCTCCGGCACCGGGAACTCCCTGCCCCAGGGCTCGCTCGGTCCCGGCGGCGCCGTCTGAGCCGCTTTCGTCCTGGCAGGGTTTCGTACCGGGGTATCCATGGCCATGCTGGAAGGGCAGGAAGGTCCGGGATAACATAGTCCCCTATGGAAGCTCCCAGGAGGGGAGCAGAGGGAGAGGAGCGTGGGCAGGTGGGAAGGGCAGCCCTGCTTGCCCTGCTCTGGGGCAGCACAGCCGGCACGGAGCAGCGGAGCGGCCCGTTTGGGTCGGCCC